TATCGTGATTTACCATGATGCACCATATTGCTAGCATTAATGTGAAGTGTCAATAAAAATGAAGTGATAAACTTTGACAAAATATAATTGTGTTATAATAGTTCACATGGAAAAACTGGTTTGCTTTAGTGCAGAATACTGGTGAAAATCAAGTGTGTCAAAATGAAAGTGAGCCAATAAGTGGTCTTCTACTGCCCTCTGCTGGTCACTCTACTTAATAATAAAGTGTTTTCACAAGTGCTTTTGCATTCATATGTGGACATATGCTTACACACACACACACACACACACACATGGGATATGTTATTGTGAAAATCTCTTTTAATGGTGTATAAGCATGCATTTCACATATTTCTTTGTGATGTAATAATATAAAACTATATTAAAACTAATAAAAAAATAGCTTTAAGCGTTTGTTTGTTAGCCAATGCTGAAAGCTGATAAAAAAGATTAAAAATGTCGGTAACACTTTACAATAAGGTTCATTTATTAAACAGTAGTTAATGTATTAATTAACATGAACCATGAGCAATACATTTGTTACTGTTTTTGTTCATCTTTGTTAACATTAGTTAATACAAATCCAGCTGTTCATTGTTAGTTTATGTTAGTTCACAGTGCATTAACTAATGTTAACAAGATTTTTATAAAGTATTTGTAAATGTTGAAATTAACATTAACAAAGATTAACAAATGCTGAAGGAGTATTGTTCATTCTTAGTTAATGTTAACTACATTAGTTAACATTAACTAAGAATTCGTCGCGGGGGGCGTTCCCGAGCCCCTTGACGATAGATTTGGATCAAGAACCCCGAGAGAACCTTACCTAGCGTGCAGAGACTTTCTGTTTTCGAGTTATGAGTGAATTTGTACTTGGGGGGCGTGGCCCAACGTTATACTTTCGTTTTCAGCCTTCCTGTGACACAATTGTAAATAGTAATAAATAAAATAAATAAATGCAGTCCATAATACTCCAATAGATGAATTTGGACAAAATGTGATTGTAAATGTTAAAATAATGATTTAATAAAGTCTACATTTCAATTATATATAACAATATTAGGGAGTAGTATGATGAAATGACAGCAGGGGGCAGTAAAATACCACTTATTGGCTGTTATAGCCATCCAAAATCTTATAGCCATCCAATTTACACTATGATAGCCATTCAAATGAAGAAATGATACCTTTTCTGATAATTATTGATCTAGAGAGTCCAGATAATTGTACTGCACTGGTTTTAAACATTAAGATATGACAATTTTACAATCATAGATGGAAAAGGCCATTTACAGCCAATACAGGCAATTTACCATAGGAAATGCATGGTTTTAAAGCTTTTCAACAGTTATAGCGCCACCTATTGTCCGATCTCCATGAAACTTTGCATGCTTCTTCACCATGGTATGACACATATGCTCATCAATTTTTGTCAAGTTCTGAGTTTTTATTTATGATTTATAGGCTTTTGAGTGTATTTTAACACGCCCCTTTTCTAAATGACCCTATTATAGCCATACGAAAAATGCAAAAGTTCAACTTTTTTTCGATAATTATTGATCTAGAGAGTCCAGAGAATTGACCTAGACTGGTTTGGTTCCGATCGGGCGAAAAACCAGGGACTAGTTCGCAAAAGTAGGTTTTTAACATATTCGTGAATATTTAATGAACGATTTGATTGACAGCAATGGTTCTAGAGGCAAAGTTGTTTAGCATGAGGAGATCTATCAAATGATATGCATATTGTGGGGATGTGTGCAACACCACGTGATTACAGAGCCGTAAAACTCGTTAGCTCCAACTAGTGGCCGATTTCTTTCAAAACTCTTACAGACCTCTTGGGCCATGAGTCGAACATGCCCATCGAGTTTCGTTCCGATCGGCCTTCGTTAACCTTGTCTAATAGGTGCTCAAATTCATTGGCTAATGGCGGCCATGTTTTTTGAGTTACGCCAATTTCCTCATACACATACATGGGGCCTTGGACCAAGACACTGCATACCAATTTTCAAGTCAATCGGACTAACGGTCAGGTGGTCATAGCCCTTTTTATGTTTTTTTAATGTTATAGCGCCAACTAGTGTTCGATCGTCGCGATCTTTTTACTGTGACCTCAGACTGTCCTCATACACATATCTCTTGAGTTTGGTGAAGATATCTCATTTACTTTTCGAGTTATAGCCATTTTAGTAAAATAGGCTCCTCCCACAACGATCATTTTACTCCCCCTAGCGACCGTGAATCGAAAATTCAACTTTTTTTCAATAATTATTGATACTCAGACTCCAGAGAACATGTATGCATTTTTTTTATTTTGATCGGGCGAAAAACCAGGGACTAGTTCGCAAAATTAGGTTTTTGACAAAATTCAAAATGGCGGAAAAATTTGCATACCGGAAATGAAATCGGAGATATACGTTTTTTACTTCAGGCCTCCAGCTTTCCAATGATATAAGACACTTGAGTCTACGACATACGGTTTAGGAGTTATGAGCAGTTTTGCGCAATTGATCGCTGTAGCGCCACCTATAGGCCAATCGGGCTCATACTTTGATAACCTCTCCTCGATTTTTGTACTACCATCTGACAAAGTTTCAACTCTCCAGCACTTACGGTTTGGGCTGCACGATGCGTTTTACAGGAGAATAATAATAATAATAATAATAATAATAATAATAATAAAAATCAGTACAAATACAATAGGTTTTCAGCACTTCGTGCTTGAACACCTAATAATAATAAACTTAGAAAAACACAGAATCAGAAAAATGCAAACATTTGACCAGTTTTGGGTTTGCACAGCTGAGAAATGTTTATTTATATCCTGATTTTCAGCATCTATTAATGTGAAAGCACCGTATTGAGCTCGAGATTCAGTTCTCCACTGCAAAGGTGAGGATGAACAGCAAAGGAAAATATAAAATTACATCTTTATACACAAAATGATGTTATTTACAAAAGACAGAAACTGTTTTTCAGATGATAGGCGGACCGAGGCCTTCGAACGGTTCACAGAAATGCACTTCATGATGTTCGTGCTGATTTAGCGAAGCACTCACAGACAGCAAGACACGTGTAAAGCTGTATCAAAACTACTAAATGTTTTCTGTATGGTTTTAAAAAGCCATTAAAGCAAGGCGATAAGAGTCAGGAAGCACCGACACACAACCGGACGCTCTCTGTGCTACTGCTAATGCTTTAGTCGGCGTTTGAACATGATCCGTATTCCACACGAGGAAGTCAAGCCGTGATTGGATGAACTGGTGGTCATGTGATAGCTGCCACTGACGCTTCCTCAAGGCCAGACGATGAGCACATGATCAATCATCAGGTCGGTGTGTGAAGATCAACACTGCGTTTCTGGCTGGAAACTATATGAATGTTAGAGCTGTACGATTGTGGCTAGGTTGAGAATCACGACTTTATTGATTCAAACAAAGATCACGATTCTGAACGGAACAAAAAAAATTC